GTGACGAGCCGCCTCCGCCGCGAGCTGCAGCCGGGGCTGGCAGCAGAGGAGCAGCCACCGGCCACGCTCACCCCTCCAGGCTCCCGCTCCGGCACGGTAAACGTCACAGCTAAACGTTCACTGTCTGTTATGCTGAGGCAACATCCTGCTTCCCTGATTTATGCAAGGGATCATGGGAAAAATGAAATGGTTTACAGAGAGAAAACATCAGCTGAAACATCTGCTGAAGGACCCCAGACTGTGCCCAGCTCTCATTTGGGAGACATGGGGCAAACCAGCCATGGGCCTATACAGACCCAAGGGAGTACGCCGGAGCAGCGTCCCGTCCCCTGGAGCTGTGAAGGATGGCTGCGCCTAGGGCACGCGCGCGAGGACCGCGGAAACCCCAGGCCACAAACGCAGCGTCCGCACCACGTCTGCCAAAGCGCAGAGCTGGGGCCCGGTCCGTGTTTGAGGCACCAGTGAAAAACTAACCCGAAAGCCGTACACCACGTGTGCACCACGCGGTCCGCGCCTGCAGCTGCACGCCGTCCGACGGGAGCGCAACGCTTGAGCTCGGCCCCCACCGGGCCTTTCCGAGCACACCGCGGCGGAGAGGCCCGGGCGCAAAAAAAAATACGGCGTCCAAAACCTCACCCGCACGTTGAAACGCTTCTGCGGCGACCCAGGCGCAGCTCATGGGAACAGAAACAAAACGCGAGACCTTCACACGCACGTGTTTTTCACTGGCACCAAGTACTAGCAGTATTTTGTTTTTCACACAATCCCTTTGAGATGATAAACAGGATGTCACACGAGGTAGTTTTGTTATGGAAATAGAGTCAATAATGTTATCAACTATTACATTTTATAAATTGAAAGAAAACAATGAATCACAAAAGGCTTTGTTAAAGTTGATCGTCATCTGGTTTCAATTTTTGTTTCTTTTTGCCCTTGGGGGCCTTTCTTCCACTGAACCATGTTGCTTCTTTCACAGACTTGTTAGAGGTCAACCGCACAGTCTCTCTTTTTTTTTTTTTTTTTTGGGGGGGGGTGGGGGGGAATAGTGCCTGGACTGAGCTCAGCTCACTAGCGTTTGGTAGGGGCTAGTTTAAACTCACATTTGCGCATCCTGGCCCGTGACACTGCTGAGAAAGCGTTTTTAGCCCTGCCAGTGTTGGCTGACCCTGGCTCAGTGCCGTGCTCACCCAGTGCCGGACTCGGCGCTCGGCCGGCTCACCGTCCGGACGGAGCTCTTCTGGATACTCTTAGTAGTTGTAAGCAAACTACTTTTGCCTGCCAGTGTATTTCTCAAACAGTTTGAATGAATTTACAATCCTACCAAACTTCGATGAGAAGGTTGTACCGACTGGAAATTCAAATCTGTGATTCGTACGTAACAGATTGACTACAGCAATATTGTGACTGTGCTGTCAGGGAGTCTGCCACGGTAAGAAATACCGATTCTCCTCCTTTCCATAAGCATTAAATATAATACGTTTAACATCCAAGGCAAAAGGATGAGGTATTTGCAAACTGCTTTGAATACGGAAATAGAGATGAATCTGCCCCAGTCGTAGGAGCTGTCGTGCCTTCAGCAGAAATGCAAAGTTTTCCAAAATGATGGTATTGGACACTTCAGCAATACCCACGGGAACTACGACAGGACACTGCAGGGCGAGGCAGAGAGGGACTGCAGCCAAAGAGAAGCAGCAGCACAGCTAGCAGGACATTTTTACAGTCCTGGTTGGACTTCCCTCTCTAGCTCTGTCCTGCTCCGGCGTCTGCAGCAATCCGCGGCCACCTTGGGCACGCTCAGGCAAGTCGCACTGGCGGACTCAGCACCCAGCTTACCACTCAGAAAAACCAGCACAACGCGAGTCCGCAACGCCCCTTCCTACTATGGTCTGGCAACCTAAAACGGGCAACGTGCATTTTAAGGACGTTACCCGTTTATAGAGCCATCTGATCCTCCAATAGAAGAGCTCCCCACAAGCAACACTAGAAGTTTTTCCCCAAAATCCCTATACGAGGGTTTTATTCAGATTTTAAACAGTCCTCCAAACAAGTCATGAAAGAAGCAACTGCTGCAACGTCAAAACTAGGGTTTCTCTGGGTCACATTTTAAATACTTATCCCTGAGCTTCTGTGTATTGCAAACAACACACTGAGAACCCAGAGAAACACCGCAGCTTGACACTGATGTCTTATGGATTATCCTTGATTTACACATCATCTAAAACTTAAAAATTAGCTTCATACTTAAACTAGTTCCCCAAGTTTCCCCCTTTCTCCTGCCTTTTATGTGGCAGGGATGATTGCCGCTTATTATCCTGAGAAATACAGAAATAACAACATTTTCACAGACACCAAGCTTCATAGCTTCAAATCAAAACCAAGAAAGAAGAAAGAATGAACGGTAAATAGCACATTCACAGGAGAATTTTTTTTGTTTTAAAAAAGTAATAAAAGAAATTCAAGTTTTTTTAAAAAAGGTTGGTTTGAAGGACAAAACTTAAAATCATTAATCTGAGTTGGCTGCGTAGCTGTTCTGTGCAAAAGCCTGAAGAGCCCCTTGTCCATGCCGAGGCAGAGGCTCTGCTGAAACAGAGCGAGGGCAGGCACCGAAAAGACCCCAAGCCATCTCCATCCTTCAAGTGGGTAATTAAAGCCTGCTTTTTGCGAAACTCAGTTTTGGATTTTTCTCTGAGCCAGACCCAAAGGGCACTGAGGCACACATTCGGGAGGAAATCAGCTGGGAACACAGCAGGAGTCATCATCACCCAGGCTTTCCCGCACTTCTAGAGAGGAGCCCTCCCGAAACATCAGCATTCCTGAAAATTCCTGCTCGCTTTCGTAGCACTCTTTGCGCTTCTAGGCTCTTTCAAGCAATACGAGACGCCTAGGAAAAAAACTGTTCCTGGGGAACTGGTCTTATCAGAGCACTAGCTAGCAGACTCGGAGAAAACCTGCTCTCTCTAGGGAGCCAGAAAAATCCTCTACGCTCCAGAAAACCCTGTAACGCTGCAACTGGCAACTTGTTTTCACCTAACAGAAGAGGGTTTTCCATGTTTCTTTCTTCCCCACTCGGCAATCTGACCAACGTGTTTGGAAAACCAATGATTTCCCTTTCCGCTTTAGTCTTTATCGTGACGTGACTGTAGGCTGGAAGAGCTCAGAACTTAAGATACATAGAAAAATCCAAAGCTCCACTCTGCTTACCCAGAGCACGCAACAGCTCTGAGCAGCACCCTGAGCTAACAGGCGTGAGAGGAGAAGGATGACAGCAACCAGCTTTGTTACCATTCGGAGAGCGGCAAACGTGCACGTGAAACTTGCAATAAAGATTATACGTCCCTTTCCATATATATAATCAAATACGATACCCCTACCAGCCAACTAGGTCCAGCCAGGGATCTGAGAGCACCATGTTATTCAAAATGAGAAGAAAGAAAGATAAAATTGCAGTCAGAGGAGACAAAGCACCCTGTCACCAAGGTGTGTTGCATCTGTCTGTAAAGTTAGCTCCTGCTGCATCGATTTTGCCAAATCCAGCACCCATCAGTTCAGAGAGAGAACTGGCATCTCTGAGCATCCTGGTAGCATCCAGCCATCCCACAGCCCTCTCCAGGGGCTGGGACACGTGAAAGAGAAGAACTTACTACTGAGTCAATGGAGTCAAGCCTCAGTTCAGGCGAGAGAAGCCCGACCCAAAGGCAAGCAGCTGACTTCAAAGAGTTTTCCTTCAGACGCCTGGGGTCTCACCACTCGAGCTAAGCCCCATCGCCGTCAGCTGGCAGCAGGAAGCTCTGCTATGTTCCCTACGCTGGATGATGTGCTTCAAGCTGTAAAACCGCAAGCAAGATTCCTAGGCAGAGTTCCGCTGGATATGTGAGCCAGAGCACTTCAAATTTATGTCCCAAATCTCTGTTCAGATTAAAAGTAACTCTTCAGCTTTCTATGTGCACAAATACCATGAAGGAGAGGAGGGGGTCAGCCAGCCAATTCATCTTTCAAATCGGGGATAAAAATTGACTTGTCATGGCAGAAAATTCTACCAAAGACTATTATTGTTGATTGATTCCTCTATGACAGAAGGTCAGATAAGCAACAGCAGATAGATACCAAAGATAATGAACTTCCCCCTACTAGCATTAAGCACAAATAAAATATGAGTCCCTGTAAACTGAATGTTATGTGAAGAATGGAACAAAAATTCCAACCTTTCCAGGGTGTCCTTCAAACCAAATTCACAAATACATCTAGCGACTGACCTAATGTCTCTACGTTTCTAGCTACGCTCCTACCTTCTCATAATACCTGAGTTTGCAATGCAACACATTCACTTTACCCTGTTTAAAAAATACAAGTCATCAGAGGACTTGGTGCAGAAGATATTAATAACGACTGTCCAGTGAGTTAGATTCTGGTTTGGTATATTAGCTTCTTCTTTACCTGTAAGCTTAGCAAAGCTTTTCTACTCCCTACAATACATCGGTTATTTGTAAATGGACACTGCTGCCAATCACCCTTTATCAAACTTGGTTTATACAATAGAAAGTAGAACATTCCTGTCCATTCATCATCACAAAGTTTAGGTATTTTTTTTGTTGTTGTTGGTACAGCATTACTCTTGGGAGTCTTATTTTGGCTAAATACAGAGTACCTTATAGATGATTTTTGTTGGGTATTTGGCAATAAGATGACCACTTTTATGTACACTAATTAACACAAACTCTTACTCATCAACAGATTATAATAATTCAGTAATTGTAGAATAATATTACTCCTATGTAAGTTAACATTTCCTTGAGTGTATAAAACAGCAAGCCAGAAGATAACCCGTAATAAAAAGATCATATGAAGCTATTTGAAAATTAAAGTTAAAAGCTGAGAAATACTTTCTAACTTACAAACAGATATACTAAAGTCTTCCCATTTACACCTTGAGGTATACACTGTATGCAGAAGGCTTTCCTGAGAAATATGTGCTCGTCTCAATTTACAGTCAGAAAGTAAATGAGGTTTACGGAACTAACTTTGCATTTGTGAAGCTATATCAAACTGAACTGCTGCTGGTCCCAGCAGCTGTTACCCGTAACATCCTATTTAAACAACGAAAAAATGAGCAGCTAGTGGACTTTTAGAAAAGGGAAACCATCAAGCTGGAAGATTCCCAAGCAGAATTACAAAGAACGCAATGCTGCCTTGGGTCTATATAGTTAGTCAACAGCGTGTCATTAAGGGTAAGTTTGAAAGGAGCCATCAAGATCTCCCGCAGAGAGGAGCGGGCAGCACTTGGTACACAGAATAACTGTTGACTAACCTAGAGATGTGCCAAGCTAGTGGGACGCAACGTCTCTTGGGTTGCTACCGAATGAGTACGCTCCGGTGTGCAGGTAACACGGGGGAAGGAAAAAAGAGTGAGGTGAATGACATTTTTCTCCTGTTCACCACCACGTTCATTTTGATCTAACAGCAGCTTCAGAACTTCTGGGGAATACCTACTCTGTGCCATACACAGCCGTTAAGTGGGACAAGACAAAAGGTAATGACTGATTCCTCCTGCCCTGGAGGAACAGAACTTGCTTCCCGAGGTAGTTTAAAAAACAGCATTCAAAAATTTCTTGATTAGCCCTACCTCGCTACATAAAGATCAGAGTCACTACTGAGGATGCAGGGAAGAAAATTCAGCGAGGGCAACATAGCTGTCTAGGAGAATGACTGAGTCTTTGGAAGTTAATTCTTAATGGAGGAGATAAGAGTATTTCATTTATCACCACCACAACTAGCAGGAGAGTATGAGAACACCCACGTTTAGATAAACACCAGCGCTGAGCAATTACTCAGACAGCTAACCAGTAGTCATTAAACCATTTCTCCGTGCAGTGTGATGGTGTGGAGTTGCTAGGTGGAAAATCCAAGTCTTGTAACACCTAGGATAAACAGTTTACTAAGCATTGTGCTAATACCAGTTTTTCCTGGTGAAAAGGGATTCCACGAGGCAGTAATACATCCTGGTGGGATACGACTATGAATCATGCATTCCCCGAGTCCAGCAGAGAAAGCCATGACGGAGGATACTGGAGTCCCTTATCACAGTTACACATGTTACATTTAACCACAGGGTAAATTAACTGTTCCCAGCAATGGGCTGCTTGGGATTGCTGCAATGCAGAATTCTCCTCAGCAGTCAGGTATCATCTTGGGGGAAATATACTGAAAGGGACAATTCTGCCTCTTCTCTACGTAGGTTTTTTTCTGCTTTTGTGAACCCAAAACGGATGTTAAGGAACCGATTAGAAATTAATTGCAGTCCACTTTGTTTCTACCAACAAGGGAACCCTGCTGCTGGGCTGTCAGGCCTGCTCTGAACTGCCACGTCGCACGTTCAGCTGGCGGAAAGGCTCTGCAGCAACAACGGCGATCAGCCGGTGAGGCTGGGCCTGGGGGGGCAGGAGACACTCCTGCGGCCCCCGGGACGGGAATGGGGCTTGGGAGCCCTTCTCAGCTTTGCAAGGCTACAATTCTTCTATGTCAGAATTCAAGGGAATCACACGTGTTACCCTCTGCATCTGAAAACTGACAAAGGAAAAGAAACATACTGGCTAGATAGACTTTTCCTCCTTCTCCATTCCCTGTTTTTTGTTTTGTTTTTTAATCGAAAAAGCTTGGCACTTCTCTAACACCCACTTCTCCAAAATTGTCCATTAGGGATGCTAACAGCTCTGCCAGTGAAGTGAGGCGGTTTGCTCTCTATGACAAATGCTTTTGGATACAAATCATGGAGAGAGCAGTGCGCAAACAGCATCTTCTCCTTGAGGTAGTCTTAGTCATCTCAGTCCCCAGCCCCAAAAATACAAAAGAACTAACCCTAACAAACACTGTAACATTAAACATCTTCACATTCTGTAAACTGCTAGAGAATGCATCTGCTGCATTCCTACAGAACCATGTGCATTGTGTTGAAGATCATACATTCAACTCTGTCGTGAAATAAATATATAGGAAAAAGAGTAAAAAAACAAAAACAAACAAAAAAGATTCTTGCTACAACAGCAGGGGCACCCACTGCCCTGTCTCAGCAATTTCCCACTGCCTTGATCATGTTTTCCCCCTTTCTCTCCGCGTGAGCCAGTTCCCTGCCTGAGGCACCAGAGTAAGGCACGGGCCGGGGGCACCTGGGGCTCACTCTTTGCTCACGCTAGTCTTGCAGGAATGTAGAACGGCCTTAAAAAGAAGAGGCAGCTGCTCCAAGGGGACATTCACCATTTTTCCTGTTAAGAAAGAATCAGAATTAGCAGCCATCCCTGAGCCGGATTTCAGAGAGACACCTAAGCCAGCAACGCAGGAAGAGATGGTTTTACCTTGAACCTCTCAGAGAAACAGTTAATCATCCTATTGCTACATTAGACATTTGATATTCATTCGGACACAACAGGATTTATTATTTACTGAAGTGAAAGCTAAACAAATGGGCAAAGTCCGATCAAAATGACTTCTCCACAATGGAGCTGTATTTATACAAACTGGCAAAGACTAAACCCCATCTCTCCTCAAACTCCCTTGTAGCTCTCATTGCGTAAATTATGAGAGTTATTCTGTGATTATTATCCAGTTTGTTACAACACAGTAGGATGAAGCATACAGAGCTCTGACATGCAGAGGAAAATATCCTCCCCTTACCATAACATCCAGGAACAACGTTTTAACAATCCCAGATCCTTTAGATACAATTAGTGATACAGCTCGATTTGAAAATTCGCCTGTAGATTTCAGGTGTCCTAAATTCCAGGAGAGCTGAAACCTAGGCCTGCATTTCAGACCTGCCTAATGATCTGTTTACGGTGTGCTCCTCAAAACAGCATTTTAGGGATACCTCTATTTGCTGTAAGACAACTACTCAACCCAGGATTACATCCATTTGAGACAAAATGCCTCTGCGTTGAGACTGAAAGGAAGAAACTAATCTGACAACCTGACCAAAGCACTTAGAAGTATGCCACTTCGGAGAATAACACTTTATTTTTGGGGAGAAGGGAATTAAGAAACAGAACATCATACCGTGTCTTTTGACTGAGACAGTGTGTCACGAGGACAGCTCGCAAGAGAGTCAGTTTAGCCGGGTGAATTAGAGGGGACAGGAGATTATCTTAAAGGTAAGGGAGAAGCTTAAATAGAAAAAGGTCCCACCTAAGCAGAAAAGTTACCCACCTAAGCAGCCCTATTTATAGAGTGAAATTCTCGTCTAAGTTTCTTTTAAAAGTAAATTTCATAATTTGAACATGATCCCACAGCTCAAAAAGTTACCTGCAATGTATCGTATCTCTGGCAAACACATCATTAAATCCGGAAAACGGTTTGGCTGATGTGGGTATTTGTACTCTGTGAAATCCTGGCACACATACCAATACCGCTTATTCAACTGCTCCAGTTGGGACGCGTTAGTCAGACCCCTAATGTCTGAAAATAAACATGATTAGAATAATGAAAACATGATGAAAACATCAGAACAGCAGCAGACGCGCACTTATTCTCATCAGCATTTCTTCAGGAAGGAAGAACGCGTTTCTAAAACTCTAAGCTGGGTCCCTGCTTTGGGAATAGAGTTCAAGTGTGCAGTTACACAGAGATTAAAATTTCCATCTCCTCTCCTAATGCACCTGTATCACAGACATGTCTTTATACGAGTATGTTGGTACAAGATTTCCTTCCATAAAAGACATGTATGAGAATAGGCAACGTCCTAAGCTGCTCATCTTCAGAGATCAATGAACTCTCGGGGAGATAACAGCTAGCAACCTTAAATCCCTACCTGCCTTTTGTAAAGTAGCTGTATGTCAAGGCTTTAGTCCTCACAATGGCTTCAATGTAATATTTCCTCAGACAGAAACATGTTGATTTTAGCTATATCATCTTGGCTGAGGAAAGCGTTCAACTCTATAATTCAAGGTATCATCATATTTCTCCCCATCTGCTTATGAATTATACCATATGAGCTTTATAAAACTTGTCAAGTTCTTATTTTAAAATTTAGCTTTGCCAATGTCAAGCAATGCACACAAAGGAAAAATGGACATTTCTAAGCTATCAAAATGGCAGGAAGTCACATTGCCACATTTCAGCATGATCAATGACATTTGCACGCTGCTTGGTGTCCTGGGAAGGATCTGGTACGGTCGGGAGAAGCAAACGACGCGACCCTTACTGCAGGCTCACTATTGTAAGACAATATGACGGAAGAGACATTTATCTACTGCCCAAAAGCTGACTTTCAAAAATAATTTTCAGGTATTTCACATAAAAAATTGCAAACTTCAACTAAAAATAAAAGAAGACAGGAAGTTAATGAAAATACATTTTGGAAAACAATGGAAACAGCTAAAGAAGTGTATTATCCAGTGTCAGGAAATCGTCCAGAGAAGCAAACCGGAATCTCAGCCCGGGGCACACATTGAAGCGTCAGCACTATCTCTTGGTGAAAACGAGTGGGGGAGGAGAGACTTTTCAGCACATTTTTACAAAGTGCAACTATCTCTCACAGTACACAAGACTTCGGAGACATTTATTTCCAAAATGGTTGTTGAACACCACCGATTAAGCATTTCCCTTTCAATAGTTTTCTTCATTTATGCACGCACAACGTGAAGAAACACCCTAAGAGCCCCCCAGACCCGTCATCACCACAAACAGCTACCGGAGAGGGGGTCACAGCACAGCAGCAGACTGGCACGATGCACAGGAGCCGAGACAGTGACATGTGCTGCTGAGGAGAAACCTGTCTATTCCACACTATTTCGATCCAATACATTTGTTAAGAAATGACCAGGATCTTCAGACTTGTTGAAGAATCAATCCACATTTCGATTTGCACCGACTTTACGGATTTTGAAACATCTAGGGTCTTGCAACAGACTGGACTGCCAGCTTTACTCAGCTGGCTAATCAGCAGCGGGGTCATAGTCCCTTATTAGGCAGCATTCACTGCCTGCAAATAAATACTTGATTAGTCACTATTTTTCACTTTTAGAAATCGGCATTAGGCACAGAGAAACGTACTGATGAATAATCTAAATAGTAGGAAGTCAGCAAGGCATAAATCATGAAGGTAGATGTTTTAAAGACTCAGTAAAGCTCTAAAAAATGAAGAATCAGTGATACAAAGCCACATTTTATAGCAGAAAAAAATGAATAAATGTATTTTTCAATAAGGAAGCTTTGAAAGCTCTCAGTATGCAAATAATCCACGCTTACTTTGGAAAAAAAAAAGTCATGCAAATTAATCATTTTACAAGTACCTTTTAGTTAATTGCCTAAACAGTTACCCAAAGCAACAATATTTTTAGATGATGTCTTTGACTGGCGAAAAGTCAGAGCAGCTGGTAAGTGGTTGGTTACCCTTCTCCCCCTTTTTCATCAGGGTAGCAAAGACTGTTCAGGCTGTTTCAGATAATTTCTCCAGTGGGACTGATTCCTCCCTTTCATTTACTCACCTTGATTTAGGAAGTTAATGGCTTTCATACAGGCGTACTCCTCATTGCTGACCTTCAACTGGTTAAACTTGCGAAAGAGGTAGATCAACCGTTCCATCACCTCCATCCCCTCTTCACTGAATCTAAAGAAAAGAAATCACACATCAATTTATACAAAAGAGAGTCCTCACAATGAAGGCAAAAGACTTATTTAAGATATCTGAAATTATTTTAAATCTTGCAATAGAACTCAAAAAGTCTTTGCCAAACTGCTTCAAGTCTGCTGACATTCTCAAATAAAAGCAGAAGTAGATAGTAAAATCACTCAGTACAAATTTGACTGCTACAGACGTTTTTAGCAAAATGAGGGTTTTAAGCATAAAACCATCTCTCAGTTCTGCGGTTCATCGCCAGCCTCCTCTGACAGAGGAAAAAAAATGTTTGATGGAGCCAGGGACGTCCAATAGCTTCTCACATGCTTGCAGGCATGCTGCTTTGCCTCTCGACACTTCTGTTCCCCCAGACCTCAACGCAGACGGTGCCTTCTCCCCTGGCCAGGCTAATGGGAGGCTCAGCTGAGCACTTTGGGGAAATGAGATGAAATGAGATTTTATGGAAACATAGTAAGTATTCCCTGTCTGCCTATGCTTGTACCGCCCCAGACTTGTACTGCATCTACTGATGAGAGAAAAAATTCATAGACCAGGTTATACAGTACTCTTCCTTACTCATGACGAATATTTTCACGTGATAGAAGTACACGTAAGAATCCTAGGAGTACTTCCCCCTTTCGGAAGAAAAGCTGCCTCCAGCAGGGCTCCACTTGTTCTCGTCCCTCACCTGCTCGCACTTTTCTTCACCCCATGTCTTCCATCATCTCCAGTAGCCTAATTTAACCCTGAAACTGGCCAGCAGCAGAAATACAGAAGCATCCTTCAGGGCCTGTAAGTGCCCCATATCAGCAGCTCTACAATACCCTGCATCCTCTCCTGGGATATTTGGGATTGGTATTGTTTTACAGCACGTTACAGACGAACTCTGGTTCTCTGCAACATCAAACACGCACATCCAACCTAATATCTAAGTTTTTGTTCTTTTTTAAACAAACTCCTCCATTCTACTACTTTTAAAATTCATTTTATCCTTTGCCTATAGGAGTAATGCCATCGGCACGCTTTGGCTCTGCACAGCGCATTTCAGCTTTTATCAGCTGAATGGAGCAGCGCGGAAACTCAGCTGCTCCTACGATACCGGACTGCAGCAAAACGGCCTCCTGCAACCTGCTGCATAACACTGAAGGCAGAGGGGAACCATCTCCCCAAACACTAAGGTAAAGTCCATTTCCAGCAACTTCTCACGTCTGTACAGTGTTGCTTGAATTAACATTGTTTTAAACAGTGAAGAATTACACTGCTCCATATACAGCAGTGGTACAGTATTTTCCACATGTCATTTATCTAATGGACGTGTAAGGAAAACCACGTCCCTAAAAATCCCACAAGTGACTGATAGAGAATCTGTACCTCTACGCCATGATTATTTATGGCCTGTTTGTTATGGTTCGTTAGTCTTCCTGGGGTGAGATGTACCACAGTGTACCACAGACCAGTATGACTACAAATACAAATAAGTAGAAAAACATAAATAATCAAAGCTAAAGCGAGTGAAATCCCAAGTTATGGATTTAACGTCTAAGCAGACTACATGATTCAGCCTTAAGTAAGGCAGGCTGTTCCCTTCTAAAACCTCTTCCCTCAAACAGGACATGCAGGATTCATCCCACTTCATAAATGCACATCAAGATCCAACCAAAAAAAATCACTGCTCATAGCAGGGATTCACTGCTGGGATCTGGAACCACCACTTATGGCAGACCTTGAGAAATTTTCACCGCATCCAAGACATATGCACTTCTGAGTTTGTCCCTTTTCCGTACAGAGAGTTTTCTGCATCTCAGGAGGGCTGCACTGGTTTTTGTCAGTACGATACGGCTCAGAGCGGGTAGATGGGCGCATCTGTCAAACACAGCAGCAAGGGGTAGCTTAAAGCTAGCAGGTGATTAAAGGCCAGTGTGGGAGTCTGATGCTCAACACACGATAATAAACCTCTTAGAAGTTTTAGAGACAGGAGGGGGGTGAGGTCTTTCCAAGAAAGCATGAGGTATGGGAAGTTTGCCGGAAGCAAGCAGCACATTTCTCTCTGAGCTACCACACTTGCCAAATGAAGCCAGTAATAGGAAGACAGAGGGGTGGGAGAGGGCGTGCAGATGTACAGTCAATGCAGCCTCCCAAAATCGCACGGGAAACTGCCTGATGGGAAACTGCTTGGCGTAGAACAGAGTGGTCAATGTGAAGGGAGTGACCGGCTTCTTCAAAAGGAGCCGAGTCCTGCTCACGTACTAGCCAAAAAGAAGTGGTGCAAGCAACTGTCGGGAGCAAAAGCTGAAATCCGAAGGTGCACGGAGCCACTCTCCCGCGCCCAGCGTTGGGTTTCAGAGGGGTCCCGCTTGTGCCAATGGCCAGTGACGGTCTCTCCAGAACACATCATACAGCAATACAACTAGTTTGAAAGAAACTGTACATTGCATAAGTCTTCCGGAGTGGGACAGAAGTGTTTTGGCAAACTTCAGCGGCGTTCTGGCATTGTGCAGTACAAAGAACAAGAGCACAGGCAGAAAACCATCTTTGAATAGAACAACAATAGAACCCTTTTCACTGAATACCACCTTATTTTGGCATGTATGTTTGTTTACTTCAAAGTTATTTGTAAAATGCATGGTGGAGTTTGGCCTCAGAGAAGTAAAAACAAGCTATTTGAACCGCAGGTCAATTCTTCAGGAAAGTAATATTGTAAGTGATGAAAGCCTTGTCGGCTAATCTAAAGTTGTACAAGTTTTCTTGCTCTCGAGTTGACATTAAAAATCTCGCAGGTGCAAGATTGCAAAGCTCAAGAAGTTAATGAGCACAAAGACCACTCAGTCGTCTGTTGGGTTTAATTGTTTTTAGAGCACGCACATTTTTACCAGCCACTCATCACTTCATAAATCCAGGAGAGCTCTTCTCTCATTCCTGCAGTTGAACTGTCTTAGTTTTCTGTGCATACTTTCCTCCCCCTTTCAAACAAAGCTGTTCTGTTTTTCACAGCCCTATTTCTTCTTGAGGACTGACTCCTCCACACACTCTTCCTTGCGGTTTACACCAGGCAAGTCTCTAGCTATGAGTTATCGGGATTAGCTTGGGAGGTGGGGGAAGGGACTTGGTATCCAAAGGGTGTTGGGGGAGGTCAGGAATCTATTCATTTCATATTCATCTACAAAAAAAAAAAAAGCACAGAAAAAAAAACCAAAAACATTTGATCTAGAAGGCCAACAGAACATTCAGCCTGTTGTTAGACTCGATTAGAATACAGGAGCTCACGAGCTCATCCTATTTATTTGTTACCTACCTAAATATTAAGATTGCTTCTGTCATTTTGCTAAATAAGAACAGAAATGAACTTCAAAGCACCAGACTATCTCAGCTCAGAGCAATTTCTAAATTGGCCAGAAGATCAAATGAACATCAGTTTGCAATAATTATTAATCGATGCTAGCGTTCTCCAAGGAAACGGAGGCTCTTCAAGGCAACATAGGAGTCAGGCACCTCTCTGCAGAATTCCCTCATGATTTTCAAGGAACAGGGTCTCAAAGAAGAAAGAGGATAATACAGCTTTTAATGAGTGTACAGTATAGACAAGATTAATATCCATCAGTATAGAAAGGATTAATGCCCAAGTACTGTAGCACCAGCAAATATAGATGTTTAAGCTATGGATAAACTACCATAAAGACAACAGAAAGACTAAAAGGGAGTCATATAGCTTAAGATCTCTCATCTGTGCAACTTCCCACTAAATGGCCTTTTTGGTCTACATTTTCCCATTTTACTAATGACAATTAATGATACTTGAAAAGCTAAACCACAAAAATAGATTACACGAAACATTCTACTACTAAGAACATCTATTTTCATTCAGGTGCACAGATCTTCTGTGAAGGACTTTCGAAGCTACCAGCTTTGAATTGCAGCTTCTGAAGGGCTAGGATTCTGCCTTTGTCTTGTTGTTTTACCTCTCGCTCATATTTATCACAAGCCCAAAAATGAAACAAACACTTCTCTTCGGCGGCTTTGACCAGGACAGCATGGACAAAAGGAAGAATGAATAAGGAACAAGTGTTAACATGTTTTTCTATGACCCTTAATATTCCTCATAGGAGTAGCACCAGATGCATGGTGAATGGGTAGGCACAACAGGGCAGTATTTAGGAACCTACCCTAGGAAATGAGACACCTGGGTCCAGTTCTTGGCTCTTCCACTGTCTTCCTCTGTAGTCATTAGCAAGTCAACCTCTCTGTCTCTCTGTTTCCAGTGAGAAAACGGAGACAATAATCCCCCAGTCTCACATGGATGTTGGGAAAACAGATGCACAAAGAAACCTTCAGATACTGTTAGATGCTACAATGACTGAGGACCATAGAAGTATTTTAATCGCTGCTCATCAAACACTTAGATTCCCTAATGACTTGCAAAATTGCCAAGTCTAGCAAGGGAAGAGCCAGAACAGGGCAAACAACTAAAAGAGAGAGCGGGTAGCAGTTTAGGTAAGTCCTACCTATTTCATCATAATATTGTGAGTTTATTACCAAAACAAGGCTCTGCCTGGCACCACGACTACAAAAGGGGGAAAAAAAAAAAAAAAAGCAAGCAAAATGATAAATGAAAGGCAGGTTCTTTAGATCATCAGATAGTGCATACTATGGAAAAAACAAGAGCTAAGTTGCAACACCCTTAAACTTATGTAATCAAAACAATGAAACAGCAATTAATAATACAACATTGCGATAATAAAGACAACCAGCTTTGTGAACAACCTTTCCACTGGCCCAACTGATTTTTAGATAAGACCTTCCATTCTGTAGCTCAGGGTTCCCTAAAGCGTTAAGATTGGTTAGTTTCGTTCTCCACTTATGCTGGAGAAAGACAGCACGGCTACAGCCGCCCTCGACAGTGGCTAAGCAGGACCTGCTTGCCCTCCGACAGCTGGAGCCTCTCTGGTCCAGAGATCTGAGTGGTACGGGAGGGGAACGCTCTGGCTCCTTGCGCTGCTGCTGGTAGTGCAAAACTACCTAGAGATGGATTTCAGTCACATTGGCCTTCTCCCCCTCGTATTACTGCAGTTTGTTTTTAATCAGTTTCATCAACTTTGATGAAAGAAATAAGACAAAAACCATATCTTAAAACTGCACACAAGATTCTTAAAGATGGACCTAGAGAAAGTTCAGGAAACCGCCATACTCCCCGAGAGACAGGAAACACAAGTGTTTCTGAATCGCATGTAGCCACAGCGACTAGGAAGAAGGAACAGAATCATCAGTGTCAAAAGAAAATATAAACCGAAGTCAGGGGATCAGTCTGAAAAATATTGTCTTGTCATTTTTCTATGTATAATTCCAAATGAATACTTCAAAACATGACTTATATACAGCTGTCTCTTCACAGTTTGAGGATCAAGGTAAGTAAATCAGCTTAGAAATCCTATACAGAAGAATTCTAGGACAAGTCACCATAAAGGGAAGGTGAAGTTTAAACCCTAAATTTCTGTCTTAAAGTAATGAGGCATTGAGAAGGACAAAGATTTCAAGTTATATAAAATTCTACCCTTTTTAAAAAGAGAATGTTTAAATGAAAATTTCCCTATAAATCCAAATACGACAGACTCGAGGCAAAGGCACATCATGTTTTCTAAAAAAGTGTACACAGACAAGCATGATGCATCTTCTACATGTTAGAATTACAATCACAGATGTTTCAAGTCTAGCATATAATTTCCTGAAGTGCTGAGTCGGTGTGAGCTTTGGGTACCCAGCAACTCCAGAAGACGGGTCCATGATTTTAAGCAGTTTACACTTGATACTTTTGTAAATGCAAACTCAAAAGCTCATTTGAATGAAGTCTGCAGTGAAAAATTCGACTGGTGCCTCCTGTTTTTCAGATGCAATAGCTTCTTTATCACACCTAATGAATCTCCCATCTCCCTCAACGCAGATTTTTAAAAGGTTTCATGAGGCATCTAACAGCTTTTCCAAATATGCTTGGACCTAAAGAGAGAGAACCTGAGAGGAGAACAGAGGGCATCCACCGTGCCCAAGGAATAGGGCAGTGCTTCCTACGTAGCTCTCCTCCAGCTGGAAGAGCAACAGGAGAGCTGTGTATGGTCATCACGGAGCCCCGCAGAGCAGGGGGTCAGCTGACAACAAGTGTCAAAGCACCTTCTTTTCCCCTGCAAAAGAACGTTTTTATTCAGTATTGACTAGACTTAGCCAGTCACCCATGAAGTCTCAAGCGTACTTTATAAGCATGGAATAATCCTTCCTTGGAAACAAAAAAGGAAAACAGAAGCAGGTTAAGTGACTTGTCCCAGGAGATGTGGTTAGTCCGTCCCAGGGCCAGAAAGGTAAGCTAGACCTCCTTCCTGCCAGCCACGCTCCTCTACATGTAGGCTCAGCCCGGCGCTCACCTGTGCAGCTCGTCGTCGGAGGGGGAGTACTTGGAGGTGACATCAGCAAGGTCACCGAAGATCTGCTTGCTGTAAACCGTCAGCGAGGAGAGCAGAATCAGCTCCTGCCACGTGGAGCTCAGCAGGCAAGTATAGTCCTTGATCGAGAGTTCACAGAAGAACGGCAGCTTCTTGATCCAAGCAATCTGCCTGAAAAGCAATTCATCCGCCAGCCGACACAACAATGCAAACAGCTCTGCCTGAGTCACTTTATACCTGCAGGCACAGTTAACATGAAGGCATAAAAATAATTAACAGCATTGAATGACATAATCCGACACGGCACTTGAAAAGCAAGGAAAAATGTCATAGGAATTTATCTTCCAGCGCCCCAATCCCGGTGCCCACAGTGTCACCTGGTGGTGAGCGCAGTGACTGCTGGCTCTCCTGGCGGAGCCCGCAGCGAGCACTGGCTGCGGGAAGCAGCCCCGCTCCGTCCTGCCCGAGCCGGCGGGGCCCCCCGGCCCATTACTAGCTGTCGTGCACAGTTAGCGCGATCGCAGCGGCTGCAACTCCTCTCCCAGCACTCCCACGCAAGCTCAGGCAGCCTGGCACCCCTCGCTTGACACCCCACGCCACGGGTCCGGGCACTGCAGGCGCACACGCAGGCCCGGCCACGGGCCCAGTCTGGCGCAGGGACACGCCGTTGTTTGTTGCTTGTGCTACAGCTGCGCCTTCCCTCCCAGGACGAGCTCCCCAAGCTCGCCGTGGCATTAGGACTTGCCTGAATACAGCCAGTAGTGCCCCGAGCCACCAGCTTACGCTGCCCAAGCTGCAGGAGCACGTACGTATGGAGGCGGCGGACCCAAAACGACGCCCAGGAATTCAGAGCTCTGGGCAGCCTCTCAGGTTGCGCTGGACACACTTACCCGTCTTCAATAAGCATTGGAGTGCCAAGCGGCTCCAAGTCCTCAGCTGACACCAGCTGATTGATCAGACTATGCGACTGGGGGTCCAGACTGCGCGTTTGTGGGGGCATCAGAGCCGAGTGAGCAGAATAGCTAAAAAGGTGCGGGAGGTACTGATAGTGCGTGGACACCGGCGTCCCAATATACTGATCCCTGAGTGCAGCGAATCCATTCAGTTCCACGGACCTACTGGAAAAGGAAGATCTTTTTAATATACCCAAAAAATCCTACCGTTAAAACGTTATATGCAACTCCATCAGAAATGTTAATAAGAATGGAACAAAACCAAAACAGAATGAAAAACCCCTTTCTATCTGAATCCTACAGTGGAAATAACTGAGCGTGTGCAGATCACATGCCTTCCACCTGCATCGCGTTCAGCTTGACCTCCTCGCTAGGTTCCAGCTAACGTGGAGATCTGGAAACTGCTGCTTAGCAGCCGTTCTTAGCCTAAAAAAGAAATCCAAGCCTATTCTAAACATTTTCACTCCTGCTTTCTTAAAGGGCCAAAATTTAGGATTGTAAATTAACTGGTTTTACACAAGCAATGAACACAAATATCTCCTTGCTTAAAATGCAACTGAAAGCAGATGGAATGCAAGTTTGAGATTCTTGCTGCGTTTACAGGGCAAATGCTGAGTCAGAAGGTTAGCATTAAGGATAATTGACCTTAATATAACACTATCAATTAGTAACCTAAATGGAGTAGTTCACTTCAAAATCTAAGCACGGTGGGAAAAAAAAAGAGTTTGTATAGAACGAATACTGAAAGCTAAAGAAGTTTACATGATCTGCTGAAAAATCAACACAGGTTAGGAGGTTTATTTTAAATATTACAGTTTTAACTCCACATTGCCTTCTTTTGTCATTTACTCAGGGACATTTGACCTCTCCGTTCCTGCAGATCTTTCCAATCTGGTGGGCGTCTGTTTAAAAAAGCACTTCAGATGTAAGAACCTGCACTATTCTTCTCTTTATGCAACACGCACCTTAGAGTATATTTTTCTACGTTACACCAATGCATCGCTCGGGGAAAATTGGTCAAAATTAGTAGAACTTGAAATTGAGGCATCTGAGAGAATTCCCACCTTGAAGATGGAGTAGACACAGGCGAAGGCTGGTTGCTCTCAGAAACTCCATTTCCAGGGGAACTATGGTCACTGTCTCCGTTGTTGCTCCATGACATATTTGCTTCTCCCTCAAATTCTTGTCCAGACATGATTCTTTCAATCTCTTCCTCTGATATCTTTCAGATGTAAGATCATTACAGTTAGTGCTAGGCTGATGCGTCAACTGAGAACAGAATTAGGGCAGAGCCTCCCTAGGCAAATGCCTCGATTGCACTGCTGCATCGAACAGAGCTCAAATCAAACCGGGAGAAATGCTTCACCATTCCTAAAATCTCACTTTTTTTCACCTTACATTTAACAACACACATGAAAAATCCTATTTACAGCAAACCACGGTGACCTTCAGTTCCAGTAGTACAACTCAAGTGACAATAACATAGCAGACAGTAATGGACACATGAAAAGATAACATCAAATACACACACAGCAATGAGCCATAAATCAGCCATTGCCACACACGGAAGAAATCCGGGAGTAATTGAGACGAGTTCATTGAAAACATCACTCAATACTCAGCAGAGGTAACATGCAAACACAAGGCTGAGTGGCCTTTGCTTTGAGAAAGAACTGAAAGGGGCACTGTGACGCATATAAAAATTAGCAAGGAAAATGTTAATATAGAATTATTGTTGACTATTTTTCCCCAGGTGAGAACCAGGCAGAACCTAAGGAAGTAACCAAGCTTCAGATTTAAAAGTATCAGGGAGTTTTTTTTTAAATGAAGCCTATAATTAAAAAAATGGAATTCAATGCCACAGGATACTGCAGAGGCCAGCAGCAGAAACACTTTCAAGAAAGAATTGAATATGATCTCGGAGAACAGATGCATCAGTAGCAAGGAAAATGCAACATAAAGCTTTTTTTTATTTATTTTTTTTAAATTCTATGCATGTTCCTTAGTAAGAGTGTCCCAACATGTAAAGACCCTCAGTTAATACGCTGCAAGAAAGCAGAGTGAACTCTGAACATCATTTTCAAGAGTCATAAAGAACCTAATATTGCTTTGACGGTTCATTCCGGTCTTGCAAAGCTGTCAGGAGAATGTACTAGACTTACCCAGGTACACCGTCTGAAGAGCACAATAATTAAATAGTCTCACCCCAGAAAATGGAGTTAATGGCATAATCTATGGTCCAACATTGACCTATCACACAAATCTCAAATGAGCTAGGCTCCGCTCTGCCCAGCAAAGCGTGCTGTTTTATTGCGGCTATGCTATTCAGAGAGGCAGTCAAAATTGAGTTACCTGGCCAGAAATTGTTTGTTCTTCCTTGATATACACACATAGGCTTTAAGAATAGTAATGAATGCTGTTAAAAATACAGTGTTTCCAAACAACAGAAAATGCTATATAATTACTAAGAGGTTGGGTGGTTTTGTTTTTGCTTTTGTTTTTTGAGCTAGGTTCCCCTGTTATGCTCGGACAGAAGGGACTGCCCTGTCTAACTGCACTAGACTTCTCGCCTTTTTCTTATTCAGTTCTGGGGGACCTTACTGAGCTGGGCAGAGATTTCTTACTGCTTGGCTTTTCGTGTTTCCAGTTTTGCACTGGAGCAAGTAGTATTTTCATAGGCACACAGAGTTACAAAAATGGTTTCAGTGTTATTTCTGTTTTATTAAAATGAATAGTAAACTTTTTAAAGAGAGCTTTTCTAGAAGGAAGCTGGAAAAAGGCCATCATTTCTCAAGCGTGCAGTACAAGCTATTGTGCTGAATTACCTCGCGTTTTACAAGACATCTCCAGACAAGCTGCGCCATCAATCAGCTGGACATTTACTGGGTGCCCCACTTGCAACAACTTAAGAAATTGCAGTACACAGACTGCGAGATTTACTGGGAGCTTTGGAGGGATTGAAGCGCTTGTGCTGCTTACAAAGGACAGAACGTTTCCCACAGCCTGAGCGCGTGGGTCAGACATTGTCAGTTTATCCATGTAGCCACCCGACAGCAATCTGCCACGGGACTGCGATGTGTCCTCTTGCCAGAGACAAGCAAGCTCAGAGCTGTATTTACAAATCTACTGTTTATGACATGTATCATTAATACACAGGGAGAGTCAAGCCCCTGCCACGCCAGCAGAAAGCACGGGTCGGTCGGAGAAAGACTCAGGCGGATTAGCTGAGACCCCATCCCCAGCCTAGCTGCTCCCACGGCATTGACCCTGCAAATTTAAATGAGCTCTTTAGTTCTGTTGCTGAAGAAATCAATACAATTCCTAGAGAGTCCATCCGAATCAGCTCCAAACACACTCTACCGGCTCTTCCATGTCCTAGGAAAGTTGGTCCGGACTCTGGCTCCCAACGACTAGAGCAATAGAGATGTCGATAAGAGTTTGGAAAACACATCTGCTGTGGATGGGACTCCCCCTTCTCCCATCAGAAAACTACCAATTGCTTAACTTTCCCCCCTTACAGAAGGAGGTTAACGCAGTTACTGTAGAGCGGTGTGCAAGTTCAAAAGAGCAAAGACTAAAGAGAACCGTGGAGAAATCATTATACGTGCTCACCTGGACAGGTCCAATACTTTTGTTTCTGCCTCCTGGCATGCCATCCTCTCTGATTGCTGAAAGAAACAGCCAAGTATCAGTTAGGAACCTACTATTCAGTAGTCCAAAAACAGATAAGAAGATAAGAAGATAGATAAGAAGAGCTAGAGTAGCACTGCACTACGATGCTCACCCCCAGTGGGAATGACAACGCTTATGTGACTACAAGCGTTACCCAGGGAGCTCAGTATTTGTTCATATGATCTTTTGAGTGACAGGTGACAAAGAAATATTAAGTCCTTTATCATAATTAATTCTATAAAAGTCTGAGAGATGGCACAGGGAAGGCAATCTTACTATGCCTCCAGAGATAATTCAACGAGCAGCCACACGATTGCTCGAAGAGGAAATGCCAGCACTGGCATTTCTCACTGCATTATACACAGCGCTGTGAAATCATCGTAAGCCAGACTCCATCTAAAGGTTAACAGGTTGCCCCTACCTCTGACGCTGTAGACAATGCAAGTTAGGGCATTTTCCTTATTAGCGACCATCTCGGTTATTTCAGAAGGCCAGATCCCCTAAAGCTATCACAGAAAATGGAGGTATTTTACCAAGTCGGGTGCATGCAAACCAGCTCTTTAAATTCTAGTTACTAGACTAAGCTGAGCAGTGTCATTGCAAAAATGCAGCCTAGTTTTTAAATAGAGAGGCCACACTTTTTAAGGCTCTTCAAATAATTTCCAGAAAGCTTCACTGAAGTTCAATTAAGGAGGTTATCCAAGAGTTGTTTCTCTACCTTCCTCTTCCCTCTGCTTTTCTCTTTATTAGCAGACAAATTCTGCAGAAGAATATTGTTTTTAAGGTTTTCAGCTGTTCCTTTTGCTTTTCATTTTCCAGTCCAAGTCCCTCCTATGTTTATGAGGTCACAATTTCTTTCCCACCATGAATTCAGTTAGATTTGGCAGGAGACTCATCCCAGCTGCAGAATGACCTTGCTGCTGCTGCGGGCTATCCTCACCCTGCCTCTGCACAGAGGGCTGGCAAAAGGCTCTCAAGAAGGAGAAAAATGCAACAAAATTTAAGTAAAGATTTCTGTACCAGAAAAGCCTTGTGACTTCCAGCCGTCACTTTCTTTAATCCTTCTAAGGCAAACCCTATCGCCTCAATATAACAGCAAGTATTTTTATTCAAGTATCAGACAGCGTTTGTGACTTACACTTTGAAATCAAAAGAGCAATCCTAGCAGACGTTAGCTTCCATCTTCCTTTCGCACATCCCCGCCGCCTCGCTGAATGCTTTGGAAAAATCTGCCCCTATAAAGTTCACTGGTTTTTCCAAATCACGCACTCTGCAACCTTAGTTCTGATCACCCGGGCTGGTCTTTACTCTCCTCTTGCCTTTTACCTCGCCCAGAAGCAAATGCATAGTAGTAGCTGTCCCCTACAGCTTCTGGTGTCACTCCAGCCTCGCCCACCCTCCTTGCTCAACTGGTTTGATGAGCTGCCTTCAAAGCAGCAGGGAGAGCCAGCTACTCACCAGGCCACCGCACTCTAAACTCAAAGGTGCCTACCGACAGCACTCACTAAAGCCTTTACATACAAACCCAGCTGTTAAGATGAATTGGCAGTTTGACTACACAGTTTCTCAGAGCAAAGGGTGCCACTTAAATCACAGCCGTCTTCAAGGCCCAGGCTCATGGTTATTTCTTTAAGATTGGTGATATTTTTCAACTACTGGAGGATAAACAAATTCCATTGCTCATATTCAACTTTACCCTAGCCAATTCTGTCCTTAAAAAAAGATGCATAGCCCTAGGAATGTGGTATATTTAGTCCGAAAATTATGTATTTCCGGTTTTCAGGAGTGGGGAGGAAAGTGCTTCCCAGTCCTCCGCCTTTTCAAGCTTTTAGGACAGAGCGCTGTCCACCTCCCG